GCAAAGCTTCTTGAAACAAAGCAGTAGATATCGCAGTTACAACTTTGTTTTTCTCGGTTGCAGGCATGATTGTGAACTCTCCACCTATCTCAGCCAGTCTTGTCGGAAGAACAATAAACTACGGCAGCCTGGCCTCAAGTCTTGGAACAGCCTAGGAAGCAGATACAGCGTCTGGTTAGAATCGTCCAAGCACATTCAGCACCTTCAGTGCACACGACGACGGTATATGCGGGCTTCAGTGCTGGTAACTTGCCGTAGTTGCTCGCGAGAGCCTGTTGTGGTGTTAGGCAGCTCGATGGTCGGCGCCAAACTGAATGTTGGTATTGTAATCGTAAAGGAGAAAGAGGTTTCAGAGTTAACCAATCATCTTTCGGCTAATCGATCACGTTATTTTTCGGGACGGATTTTGTCGAGAAATATCATGTCTGAAACCCCCTAATGGTTCCGCCAGCTGCGGTTCCGGTGGTCCGTGTTTTCGTGCAATCGAGTCGTTCTGGTCGATGATCTTCCTCAGATCCGATCGTTTCTCCATTTCTGCGTACTCCACCTCGCGTAGCTCGGATAGCACCGAGGCATAAATAGCGTAGTCTTTAATTAATCGGCTGTAGTAATTCAAACTACCCAGGAACGACTGCATGGATAGAAGTGACCAGGAGAATGGCAGATCGGTCAGGGATTTCAGATCTTTTGGATTCGCCTCTAGACCTTCGATCGACACCCGGTGCCCCAGATATCCTGCCTTATCCATGCCCCATAAGCTCTTCGCCAAACTGATCGATAAATTCCACTTATCACAAACCTCCAACAGATCTTCCACTCTTTGGCACATTCGATCTCACGATTCTGCTGCGATCATGATACCGCCAATATGTGATCTTCGCCCCAACACAGAGAGCCGATCAGGATCGTCCGCGACCTGTCTGGAACACGTCCGTTCTAGTCCTGGTATTGCTTGATCGCGAGATCTTCAGTAATCCATACAGCGCGTTGTCAACAAGGCGTTGATAAATCTGCGGGGCATTTGCAGGCCAAAAGGCATGCGACTCCATTCGAATAATCCAAACGGGATGATAAATGCTGAGATCTCGCGAGATCGATCCGGCATAGGACGACCCAGAAGCCGCTGGTCATAACCAGTGAGCAATACCATAACGACTTGTCGCGATCCTCTAACCGATCGCTGATAAGAGGCATAGGATGCACCATCAGCCTCGTGAGGCTGTTACCAGCTTGTAATCGATGCAGAACCTGATATTCACACCGTTACACTTGCGGACAATCGGGATCGTTGAGGCTCATGGCAATGTTGAGGGTCGGATGATCTCGACTGCTAGGAGACCCTTGATCAGACCCGCAACTTTTTCTCGAAATCGCGTGGGAACTTTCCGTGATCGCAGCGCTATCGGTTTCGCGTTCCCAAAATTGATACCACATATAACGCCCCTGGTCGCTGGAGGTAGGGCATTCTCTTTGCCGATCACGAGGTGTTGTTTCTTCCAAATGATATGTCGGAGCTTCTCGATCTCCTCGGATGTGGCCGATCCGGAGTCTCCCATCTGCAGATCCTCGATGCTGACTTTCGCGGTCGTCGAGATCGGAATTTCGGGGAGGACGGGTCGGTTTTCTTCGGGATCTTCAGCTGAGAGATCACCACTCTCATGGTAATTAATCTCATCATCGGCCTCGGCACCATGTGGGGGGTTCGCTGCTGCTCCTCCCGCCGACGGATATCGTAGTTCGAAACCCTCGGTCGGGTGGATCTGGGATTTTGCGACGAAGCCTTTGCCGGATTCGAGTTTGATCTGGTTTGTTCTGTAGTATATAGGTTGTCACCGATTCCCACACATTCTTGTCTCTGACTAGTGTCAAAATTCCATCCCACCTTTGCTCGTAATTGATACCTCGGCGCCAATATCTAGGAGCAGGATCGCCCTCTCTTGATTGATCCTGCCTGAGATCTTGGCTTGTCGGAACCATTTTCCTGGGGAATGACGTTTTCAATATCCCCGGGACTCTCCTCTTTTGGGATCTAAGGTCATTTCCGCATAAGATCTGCTGAATACGCTGATCTGAGGGAGGCTCGCGATCTTGGCGGTGTACGAATGCAAATTACATGTATTACCGCTTAGATCCGACTCCTTCCTACCTCGATGTGTTGTCGCCTTGTTCACGTAAGCGTAGATGCAATATCTAGAACGCTCGGCTCGTACCGGATTCCACACCCCGGCGAGCGTTCAAGTTTAACATCTTCTCAACTTGTTCCGGGAACAACTCGGCATGTCGAGTTGGATCATACCATTTGCGTATCTGGTTGTAGAATTCTTCCATGGGGCACTCTCCTGCCTCGTGGACATACGCGCATCCACGACACGCATACAGACAGCGATCCGTTATGTGACCTCTCTTCCCACACTTTTCACACGTCAGACGCTTCCAACAGTCCAGATCTGTGTGTTTCCTGGACCACCATGGGAACAACAGTCTCGATCTTGGTGATCTCTGTCTCCTGGGTTACGACGATCGGGGATCCCTCAGACGCTTCCGTTCGGGATCGCGCTGGATCTGGGTTTTGCTAGGCACCCCAGTGCTGATCAACTTATCTTCTGCCGCGGCCAGGAAGATCCTTCGCAGTTCGCCTATCGAGTCGGACCCGTCAGATCCCGAGACCCCTTCTGACTCGGAGCTCCTGTGTCTTGGATGGTGCGTACCATGGCACGGTCTGGCGCAGCCGGGGCGTTGGACGGGACCTTCTGTCGAACTTTCGACCCGAACGCGGATCTGCGATGCCTGCGCTTGGCTCGTTCCCGTGCACAGGGAACTTTCTTAAGTTGGTCGACGCCAGCCAATCGTAATAACGTTAGGCAGTCTGCCAACTCGGGATCGCCCAATGTCTCGATGTAATGATCGACGTGTTCCCGACGCGCCTTTGGGTTTCCGTCCTTGATCTTGGGTTTGACTCGTAGAGCAGCCACGTTCAGTCGATAAAGGTAATCAAGGAGGGGCTCCTCGGATCTTTTCCGGGCAGGGTAGTACTACCTTGCCACTGACCTACCCAGACCGCAGTATTGGGTCTGGAACCTTTCGAGTACGTCCGCCCATTTGGTCTTGGTAGTTCGACTTAGCTGTCGGTGCCAGTTCTTGGCTGTTCCTACCATCAGATCTGCGAACGTGAGGCATTACTCCTCTTTTGTTGCTTGATCTCGTAGGAATGCTGATTTTACCTTGCCGATCCAAGCTCTGGCGCGATCTTCATCCATATTTTTTCTGGTAAATTCTTTCAGATTTGAGATGGCCGAATTTCGGATCATCTGGATCAGCGATGACCCTCCAGGGCCGATCGCTGCCGAAGCGATCGCGGCTCGGCCGAAAGTATGACCGGAGGAACTCGGAATTCCGAGATCGTCGGGATCGTACTCCCAGGAGTGAGGATCCGGGTGCCAACGGACTCCATATCGATACCCTGCATTCGGAGGGATGGTGGTTGGACCGTCACCAGGCTTCATTCCGTCAGGAATCGATTCATCGCCATCTGGAAGTATTCGTCCAGTTTGTTGCTAGATCCTGTCAAATTGGTCGTCGGAGTGGTTCGTCCTCCTGGGATCTGGCGCGCTTTGGCTCTGGGGTCTGCTGACTCGGTCCTGCTGGTCGCTGATCCGGCCTATTCACGCGTGATCGCTGCTACTTAGCGCCCGAGGGGCCTAGCGACATATGTTGCGGGGCTCGGGGGAGAATCTGAATCTGGTTTCGAGGTAGCCGACGCGTAATGTGACGACCCGGTCTGGTAGTTCAGATCGGGCTCTTGTACGTGTACGCCGACCAAGATCTTGAGCGAGTCGTAGAGATCTTGGGTCGCCACTTGGATCGCCCCCAGTTCCATCTCAAACAGGGTATCCGGATCGAATTCTCCCGCTACTAGTTCGGCCTCCTGGAGAAGATCCTGCTGAATCTTCACTGCATTCAGCCCATCTGTGGTAGTGTTGGGCTTGGATAGCGGGCCTGTCAGATCGCCAATCTGGCGGACCTGTATGATCGCGACAACAGGGTCATGTAGCGGTGTCTCGCTTAGGATAGTTGGCCTGCTCGATCAAGTCTTGGGTGATAATCGATATCGGCGTATTCATGGCTTCCGATTCCTAATTCGGTGCCATCAGCTTCGTCTGAGCGGCCTTGACCTTCTTTTTCTTGGACGATCTTGTCGCGTCCACCGACTTGGTGGACGGATTGGACTTCGTCTTTGTCGTTTTCTTGTCGGTTGTGTACGAATCTAGGTTCTCATCGAGATCCGCGGTGGTCGCCGGGGCGGCCATGAGTAGAATTTGAGGCTTTTCTTCAAGATCTGGTTCTTGATCTAGGTCCGCCTCATGTCTGTCAGTAGATAACCTCTCCGTACTTCCGCTGATCTGTGGTTCCTGCTGTATTAAGAGATGCCTCCGTCGATCCAGCATTGGTAGGCACTTTTTCCCTGTGTTCTTCGCGTACCTTGACATCTTCTTGGGACTCACGGTGAAATCCCAAGTCACCAGAAGATCCGGGCACGCACACCATAGTGGCGAAGCGGGATCCGTGAAAATCTAGTTGTTGCGGTTCCCGATACCACTGGCACCCGGACACCGACTAACGAAGGGGGTACTCCGATGATCCGTGATCTGGTTGTGTTCTTGTTCACCTTGTACCCGATGGTGGGCGGGTTACGCTTTCCTGGGTGACTCGTTCGATACTTATCTGGAAAGGTGGGAAGGTAGGGGTTTGAAGTAGTGCGGAACTTCTTCGCTCTACCTCGTGTTGGTCGATCTCGATCACAGGCGAGTCCTTGTGCCGTGATCAAGTTGCCTGGCTGTCGATCCAGGTCTTTAGGTGGTCCAAATGCGGAGATCTTGCTCCATCCTTGATATGCTTGCCGCTTCCAATAGCGGGGAACTTGTTGGGTAGAGATCCGATGTGATTTTCAGGCCAAGCAATCAATGCTCCTCGATCAACAGTAAACACTTGAGGACAAGTCATTAGGTAGGGCAGAGCTGACCAATATAATATTAGGTTTAACCGCTACGCTAGATCCTACGTCCTTACCATCTGTGCGCTTAAGGGACCAAACTAATTCCTGATTCCAGGCGTGGACTTTGAGCAAATTCGAGTCTGTTTACGTTTATCCCTATATTCACTAACCCATCCTCAGCTGCTTTCCTACGATCACCTGACATCTGGATACCTACCTCATCCTGGGATCTGTCGATTGCGATCGGTGATCGCGATCACGACCAGTGGTCTCGAGCCATCTCTTGATCGCCGTCGCGCGGTGATCTTCATCGTTGACGTTCACCTTGGGGCGCACAACAGCTGCCACTCGACGATCCCGTCCTGCTTCCTTCTCATGACCCTGGATCACCATCTTGCCTTGACCTGGGATCGCCTTCACCTCGCGTATCATGATCTGTGATAGGAGTGTCTCCAATGTAGCCATCCTCCTTCGATCGCTGTATGCTGACCCGCTACAGTCCTGGGTCGTTGGTCGATAGCGACTCCTGTCCACAAATTCTCCTTTATCCTGCATTCTCGCGACACGGTATGGGTATGTCGCCATCCATCATTCCATGGGTCAATCTTGGGTCATCCGAAGTCAACATCACTCACCGGCGTTGTTGCACGCTGGATCTTGGGGAAGTGACTTGATGTCTTGTCTTGGAGTGGGATTTCCGTCGCCTGGTTCGTTTCTATCTCGCGATCTGGTAGCCGAGGTTGCCTTTCTCGTTAGATCTTAATCGCACTTCGCCACACCCACAAGTGTCACAACAAAACTCAAAATTCCCATAGATTCTCGAGATTCTGACCCTCTATGCTTCTGAGTCTCTTATACTATCGGGGCCAGAGCGAGTATTGTATTGCGAAGGGGCGAAAGTTTAACCGACTTCGCCACATGGAGCATCATCTGCTGCGACGTCTGAAGTTTATGAAGGGAGGGGCTACTTGGGTCCTATTGACGGACACACGCACGGTTCCACCAATGGATGTCCCTACACTGTCCTCCAACATAGTGTAGACATTCACCAATAGAGTCTCACCCAGAAATTGCCCACTCATTTGTCCCCGTCTACGCTACATCCAGGCTTTGTTTAGTAGTATATTCAATCGAGACTGCTGGGCGGAGGAGGTTTAGCAGTCCATCCATCGAAGTATTCGTCAAATCTCTTTAAACAATATGCGATGATCTGATAAAAATATGTATTTTTATTGTATCTACATACATTACTAACAACCAACAAACCGTGTGTCTATGTAGGCTCAGTGGTCTTCCGAGACGGCGTGAGTCGGCGCTTGATCGAGCCGTTGGGGGACGATAGCAGACTCCGTTTTGTCTCTGAGCATTTCACCCCCTCCCGTCGAGCAGAAAACGAGGAAGTGAGCTTTCTGTGATTCAGTGTCGAATCCTGAGCAATTCAAACCGTAGAAATCATGATCCAGGACTGAGCAGATATGACAGGTAACAACGAAGTAAGAGGATCCACCTACGTTTGCATTCGATTTCTTGGAGCACGAGTCTCATTGCATACCACGTGTAAGATAAACTGGCGTTATTTTGTCTCTCACCACCCTCTTGGAGGAGACGTATATTTAGTCTGATCAATCCGTTAGAGTCCTTTCAAACTGGCGATTCTTCAACGTAGATTTTGTTTTGACCTATTACAAGGCGTTATTCGGCTTTATCAAAGGAGGCGAAGTGATTTTTTTGATTTTGTATCAACTGCCTAGTAGGCACATGGCTACACCTAAAAGGAGGCAAAATACCTCCTTTGAAATCAAATAGATTTAGTGTACAGTAGTTAAGAACTGGTTAAACCTCATGTATTCAAATTCCAGAATTAATGATTAGGAACAACGTGTTTTAGAAACTGAAATTGTGTAAACGAGTAACTTTGGTCCGTGGAATTATCGATCTCCTCAGCAGCTCCGGCCGATATCGGCTTGTCCGCTTGAAATGGCTA